ACTACATTTGTATACACGTTTGGATTGAGTAGTTTGACTGCCTTGAGGTTGACTCAAATGAGACTTCTTAGGAATCGACTTGGGCTTAGCTGATGGTGGTCGAATTTCTGGCGCTGGTGGTGGTGGCCTCAGACTATTACTGTGCTTAGGAAATGTCAAAACAATTGGTTGACTTGCTTGAGATCTGTCAGTGGCTAGAGCTGGAGTTGGATGGTGATTTGCAACTTTGGTTGCACAAGGAGGAGCACTCGATCATGGAGTTGGTTCAAAAGAGACACGAGTGTGGGAGGCCAAAAGAGTCACTTGAGGTTCATCTTGATCTCCATCGGATCCTGAATCGAGATCCCATTCAGCAGGGTCCACCAAACCTTCTTCAGTCATTCGCGTAGGGCAAGTGGTTTGGTTATGGCCAGACAAGCAATAGGAACATTTTGAACTCGAACCGAGTTTCTTTTTGGCTTCCTGTTGAGCAGCTTCTTCCTCAACCTCCGTATCAGACTTCCAGTGTCGATCCTTTTCTTTTTGGGATGATTCACCTTTCTTCTTTTGAGGACGTCCACGATTTTCACGTTTGACTACAGCGTTTGAAATTGGAATTAGTGCATACCTCACAGTTTTGAGCTTGGCAAGCTCTTCGTAGATTTTTCGAAGAGGCTGTTCAGGTAGATCAGTGATTTCTTCTAGCTTCGATCTGACTGCTTTTTTAAGAGCTTCAAGATTAGCAGGAGGGGCCACTATAGACATCAACCACTGCTGATGAAAGATATTCAATGGAATGTGATTTGATTATTCTAGAGCGCAAGCCAGCACATGAGCACAAGGCATTCCCTAAGCCCTGCGGAACGACTTCGTGCAAGGCTTGCCCAAAGCCTCGGGTAACAATTCGAACTGACTGTGGATTTTTCTGATAGCAAAGTGAGATATCACCCCGTGCAGTTCTTGAAATCATGTTGGAAAACCAACAAGGGTCTTTGTGCTTTCAACTCCAGTCGCAACCATTATTTCTTTGAATTGAGAGTTGCAGGCCCGCTTAAATGCTTTGAAACAGGTAATGAAATCGTTTTGGCTTCCATCCAGAAAATTCTTCAGTCGATGATGGCCACCTTCGACTCGAGACATTGACGAGTTGCCAAAATGAGGTGTTTGCGAGGTGTAAAGTGCCACAAACTTTTCACATTGGTAAAGCCAAGTTCGCTCCAGATATTCCAGGATTCCATGGTGTCGAGCTATGATTTTAACTGCTTTCAAGTTTTCATTGAAATCCTTGGTGGTTGTACTTTGCAAAAAAATATTCCACACCTTCATGAAGTTGGTCCATTCCTCAGCCTTGAACTTCTTCTTACACTTCTTGCCTATGTTGTGATTGATGTGCCAGATGCACAGAATATGAGACGCACTAGGAAAAACCTTGCTGATGGCGTTGTAAAGAGCTGGTTCAGTGTCGGTGCAGAAAGTCTGCGGAAGTGGAAAGCTGGTATTGGTGGAACTGGGATTTGTACTGGTTTCTTCAGAGGTCTGGTTGTTGGAATCTTTGGAGCTGGAGCCGGCAGTATCGGAGTATTTTGTCTTGTTAGAAGAGTTAGTTTGCGTCTCTTGGGAGCTGGATGCCGCCGTATCTTGAGGAAACACCACCGATTTTAACTGTTCCATAGCCCAAAAATACGCGTCTTCAACCTCACTGTGCATGAAGCACAGTGCAATCGTGAAAGATTTGTGAGTGTTTGTAGTACCGACAATATGAAGCAGGGGTAAATTGAATCGATTTGTCTTGTAAGTACAATCGAGTCCAATCACCATAGGGAATCGACGAGCTAGTTTTATTCCACCGGGGCTGGCAAAAAAAAGAGATTGAAGAGTCCCATCTACAGCAGTTCTAGTTCAAAAAGCCCAGTTATGTTCGGTGATCAAGTCCAATAAACCTTGAATCGGAGTTCGACCAGCTAGCCACACGTCACATTGACGCCGCAAAGCATTCCGGATGTCTCTGGCCAGAGGTTCTGAGCCAGGGGGAAATTGATGAGCTCCCGGATCTGGCCGGCGCGACAACCAGCGGATGAAAGCAGGTGGATTTGCTCTAAGATTTCTGCTGAGAATTGCTGATTCTTTGAGAGATTGTGAGGATGTTCAAATGGCTTGTGATTGTGATTGTGTTTTGTGTCGTTTGTCATGTGCTGTTGGACTATCCAACGATCGCACTGTGAATGATAGTTGAGAGATAATTCAAATGGACACCCGGTCATCTTTGTTGAAGATTCGCGAACCTCAGATACCAAGTCAACCGACCAACCAAGTGAACACCTAAAGTAGATTCAAACTTTCTCATGATGTTCAGTCTTGTGACTTTTGATGGCTAGGCCGTAACCTTGATGTCAAGCAACTGCATTCATATACATGATACCACTTGCCATTGCTATGAACTTCTTGCCAATTTTAGGTGTTTGCATGAGACGGACCGGCTTGGTTCCTAATTAGCAGCATCAATAAAGATGGAGAAAGAAATAAGTAAGAAATATGACAAATGGAAAGTGAGATTACAAAAAGAAAACAAAACTGACCAACTGGAGGCCAATCCTCGTCTCGCTCAGCCAGTAAGTCAATCATCTCATCGTCATCAACATCATCCATGGTATCATCCGGGAAGTCAACAACATCATTAACTAGAGCTGGTAGAGTTTCTTTTGGGTTTCCAGAAGTCAAGGATGAAGTCGGATGTTCAGTGATTGATTTGGTGATAGGGATGCTAAGGTTGGGATCAATCACGCTGGAATCAGAGGTCGACGGTTCTATGAACTTCTGTTTCTTGCAAGTAGAGACAACAGAAACAGGAGTAATTGGAGGAGATGAGGGGAAATTAGGGTATGGTGGTGCCTGTCAATCTGGCATATAAGGGTACTGTGGTCCAAATGGGACATGAGGATAATTCTGTGATGGGAAATAAGGATACTGCCATGTGTTGTTGTGGGGTGGCGGTGGATACATATAATGAGGGTATGGGAAGGGGTACTGAGGCGGTTGCGGTGGTGGTCTCGGTTGAGCATGAAGAAGCTGAGCAAGAGCGTTCACTAATTGAGTGGAAGCCGGTGGAGCTGCCTTTGATGACGAGGAAGCTTTGGGGTTGGGCATTGAAAGTGATAATACCACGTGTTGACTTTCAGCGAGAATACCTACAAAGGTGATGGTAACAAACACCTAGAGGATGGAAAAGACTCAATGTCAACTATAAGGAAAGAAGAGACAAGGAACAGGAGTCAAAGGAAGGGGCAACTTACCATCTGTGCACTAGTCATGTTGATAGTTGAGTTTGAAACGTGAAGTCCGTCAGTTGAGAGGTGAGGTTGTCCCAATCCGGTAAGTGGCTTCACGCCTTCGACTGGTGCAAGCATCAGGCCCAGCATTCTGCGAAATCGTTGAAGGTTGGAGGAGTCGAGAAAGGATGCATAGCCCGGTTTCATACGATCGAGGCCCGGTTATGTGTTGTATGAGCCCAAATTTCAATTATTGTGCCCGGTTTGTCAAATTGCTGTCGCTGCGGCCAAATTTGGCCCATGAAACCGGGCATGACAGTTTTCAAACCGGTCGCCAAATAGCGCAATCCATTTTCAAATTTCTTGAAATCTTCCCTAATCTTCCTCAATATTGGCCACAATGTATTTGGACAGTTTGGAGGAAGTATAATATAAATGAGTTTGTGATGTGCGGTGTGTGAAAGCTAAATAAGGTTGAATAGTGTTAGTATCAATAGAGTTTGTCTGTAAATATTTATGTTTACAGTTTTTCAAGCCTCCCTCAGTCATTTTTTTTCAAATGACCCCTGACTTTTATGGGTTATGAACTCTGCTTTCCCTCAAAAACCTTATGGGTTATGGGGTACTACAAAGTTATGGGTTATGGACCCACTTTCCCTGCAATTTTTCTGCAGATAGCCAGATTTGTATGGGTTTTGATGGAGTATGGCTTACAGCACAGATGGTTTATGTCAGAGACGACTGTAGCGACAAGCTGAGATTCGATTTGATCATCAAAACAGTAGGCTTTGGTGGACTTCCCTAACCCTGCCTGTAGATTAAAGATTGACTCTTGTTAGGACCTCGGGGCTTGAAGGCAATGGAAATTTTGATCTACATACTCTGGTGCGTGGGAAACACTGCTGGTTGTCAAGCCTTCTGAATTCTAGCCTCTTATAGCACCACCTCATCATTTGTTCAGGGATCAAGTCAGACAAAATTCAATTGTCCCTATGTACATCAGAATGTTGCCCATACTTTCAAAACAAAACCCTCTAGCAAAACTCTAGCTGAGAAGCACATTCAAAGTCTTTGCAAAAAAACCATTTGGAAAAGCTGGGAGGCCAAAGGTATGTAACATTTTGGACATTTTTTGGCCAACTTCAACCACTCAATGTGACCATGACACAAAAACAGAACAAAATGATTCAGCTTTCACACTGAAATGATCTTGAAAGCCCATCAATGGAGAGTACAAAAAGGTCACCGACCAATGCAGTCAAATCTACACTTCTGCGAAGAGTAGTCACAAGGCTTGGAATGCTATAGACCTCTAAAATCCATAGGTGCCCACTTGAAGCTACTTGAATCACTCTTCTGGGATTCCTGAGAAAAAGAGGAGCAAGATTGGTGGGCTTTAACTTGGCTTGAAGATGTATCATTATCAATGAGACACAATCTTGATGACTTGATTGGTAAATCTATCAGAATCACATTGTTTGACAGAAAAAACTCACTGGATGATATGGCGCACAGAAAGGATTGGACTTGTAGCTAAGAGACCAGCTAAGTTTTTGAAGGATGTTGTTCAAGGGATTCAATCACTCTGAAAACTCAACTTCTCCATAAAGAAAATGATGATACAAAAACTACTATAAAGATGAGATAATTGTTTTTACATAATGAATAAAACTGCAACAAAAGAAACGAGTTCTTGAATCACAATAAAGATCATAAGATTATAGATAACAGCTCATCACCTGATGTTACTAAGATTTACTGCTCAAGCAGCCATAATCCATATGGGTTTGGATCGATAAAGAGTTTGATTTTGAAAGTAGCCCAAATTTCATTCACATCCGTCTTAGTTAGTTTCTTCATATCTTGATTTTTGTTCCTCGGATCATCATTACAAAGACGTAAAACTGAAAGCTTAGGCCATGTGCATGTAGACAAAAGATGCTTCACCAAACTCCATTGATTATTGGTGAGAGGAAGATGAGATTTGATTAGTCGTATATTTTGACAGCCTTTACAGCTTACAAGTAAATCGAAGCTTCTTTTGTGATTTCCTAGGATGAGCTGTTCGAGAGCTGGGAGCTTAGTCTGACCCTCGACTTCTGAATCGTCATTGAAATCCGAAAGCGAGATCTTAAGTTTAGTAAGATAGGGTGCGCAACCGCTGAGTAGTTTCTGAACCATGCCAGCTTTCAATCCTTCACAAAAGCAAATATCAAGAGTTGTAAGTTGTTGAGGCCAAGGCTGCATACCCCAAGTTCGATCATCGGATTTGCAAGTAACACGATAAAGATGTACTTTGCGAAGGTTCTGATGCTGGGCCAGGTTCCACCCCAAATTATATTCCGGGTCGCTTGAATTAAACTTGAAGCCAATCAGTTCCAATGATACAAGTGAAGGTAATTTTTTGAGAACATTAAACACAAATGGTCTTGGATAAGTCTCTTCTTGAAAGTCCCTTAGTATTAAATGTTGAAGTTTAGGGACAAGTCCAAACAGACCATTCAAGCGGCCTAGGAGGCAATTAAGAAAATCTAATTCATCTAATTCAGTTGGAATCTTAATCTCTACCGACTTTAGGGAAGGACAGGCTTTGAAGATCTTTTCTACGTTTATTGCTCCGATCCCAATTCTCCTCACCCCTTCCTCTTCGTCGTCCTCTTCGTCGTCGTCTTCGCCGTGGGTGCATATCGCTTTGTTATCGTCAATACTTCTCTCAAAGGCTGATTCATCTTCATTGAAAGACCTATCTTCCAATCTGAATTCACAAGATTCCACTAGATGCCCGTGCCTCAAGAGGATGCCCTCTGTCCAAATTGACATAGGAGCAGGAAGGGCGCTCGGAAATCGGATGTGCTGATTTATTTATTGGATAGGAACAAGTAAGCACCTTTCAAATTGACATGTAGAGTAACACTGGAGTTCTGGAAAAACAGCACATACCTGCCACAGTTTCGGAAGACAAAGCTTGTGAAACTTTCGATTCACAACGGCTAGGTTTTGAAAGGTATCAAGAATCGGCAGTTCATGGTGTGCTTTATGTCTACCACATTCATGAGGGGCGTGTGATCGACGCTCTAATTTTCTTGCTTTGATAGTGTTTTTTTCTTTAGAAGACTGCTGATAAACCATATTCACAATGTTCTCCAAAATTTCTTCCGGCAGACCGGCTCGACTCATGATACATTGAACTGAAGGATTTGATTGGAATTGATTGGCCAAGAATTCAAAGGCTTCTCCAGCAGACCCTTCAATATTGATGTCCTGACGGAGCTCTTCATGAATCGACCAAAAGATAAGATCAAACACGGCTTTGTTCAACTTCGGATGATGCTTGTGTAACTCGCTCGTGAGGTAGTCGCATGCCCCGGTGAGACTGCCTATCATAACCTTCAAATCTCGTTCCCATACACCAAAGTTGTCGCCAGTCTTGTTTAGCTGAGGTATACGCTTTGAAACATCATGAACCCCGCATATCAATTCAGGACTGCAAGCCTCGTTTGCGATCCCAGATTCCAGATGTTGACATAAATCATTACCCATGACGCTGATGTATGCTATTTAATGGTCTTTAATCGTAAGAACGCAACTGAGTTATGACGTAACGCGATGACGAGAAAAATCCAATCGATCGCGTAAAAAAGTGAAAACTTGAGAAAAATAAACTTACAGAACTCAAAGAAAACAAACTAAAGTCAACAGTCTCAAAACTTCTTGGTATGAAGACCAAAGAGGATTATCAATAACAAAACCAAAAACAAGGAAATCGGATGAGAGAGTTGGTTATGTAGGTAAAACTTGATGAGAACAAATCTGGCGAAGATGGTAAAATGGACAATGGTAAACAGCTTCAATGGTAAGAAGAAACACTTTATCACAGCAAATCAATCAACTCAAATATATAACTCGAAAGATCATCAATGTAAGCCATGATTTACAATATTATAAGTAAGCCTAGGTTTCCTAAGATTGCCATTGGTTGCTTATGGTTGACACAGCATCACCATGGCAGGAATCGGGAGTGAAATGAGATGACTGAAGCAGCTTTGACGTCCTCAGCCTTGTCTGGGCTTGTCTGTTACAACATCCCCACCGGTGAGCTCGCGGGGTCTAAGGAAGACATCAACAAACGTTCAAGGTGATCAACATAATATCGACATACCGGCGTACCAAGAAGCTTATATGAACATGCCCGATATCATTGTGACCCATCTAGCTAAACCAAAGCCAAAGTCAAGACGAGCGAGAGTCGCACTTACAAGTTGATTGGAATTCACTTTGGGAAAGCACTCAACCAAATCAATCTTCACCCTGAAGTCGTGACGGTTCACGATCTGATACCCGAACATGATTATTGCAACACAATCACACCGCAATCAAAATTACATTGCGGTACGGTTTGGGTGTTGAATTGGCAATGAAGATTTAGAATGGAAAATGATTTGGTGGATCTGAATCAAGGCTCATGTCTAGCAGAAGCTGGACAATTTGTTCAATAGGAAATCAAAAAAGCTTTTGTTTAACACACATTTTTCATTGGAACCCATTTTCCCTCTACTAAATCTCACAACCTCTGACACCAGGAAGGTCCTAATTGGTGTAGTCATGCAGGCTTTGGGTTTTACCGCCCGCAAGGAACTTTGTCAAGTTTGCTTAAATGCTTATAAAAGACAAAAACCATGTTGCCGAGTTTTAAACCAACCTGATGAAAAATTAACTCAACCTATTCCTCACTTGTTTTGCTCCACTCTGTTTTCTCTAATATATCTTCATTCTCCTTCATTATTAACACACCAAAAAAAAGAAAAAAAATCTCAAATCAACACCCTTTAAAAGAAAGAAACCCCCCCAAAAAAAGACAAAAATATAAAAATTAAATGTCCGAAAAGAATCAACAACCAAACGATGAAAAAACCAAAAAAACCAATTATATATAAATTAATACATCTTTAGATCAAATAAGAAAGGAAGAAAAAAATACCACACTAAAATGTATATTTATATAGGTATTTCTACTATGGAAAACTTCAGTAGGATTTCTTTGATAGTATTTAAAGACTTTCAAAATATAATTCATCAATTGAGGTTAAGGATGAATAAAAAGAAAGGAGAGATAAGATTTGTGTAGTTTAGAAGGAGGGGTAATAAGATACCTCACATTGCTTTTTTTCAGAAATGAAAAGAACTATTATGTACTTGAATGATTCAGCTCAGCAGAAAGTAGTGTCTGCCTCATGAAACAGTAGTAACTGGAAGGTGGGAAGATGAGGTGAGGTGGGGTTGAAGGTGGTCGTACAACAACTGCAAATATTAGTGAGAAGTGAAGAGTGATGATAGCAAGACTAGACTTGTGAATTGTGAATGATTTAGATTACGAAGTTGGCAGAAGAGATGTATCTCATCTCCGCAATCGTTTCCTTCACACTGGCGACTCAGACGATTGATGGATTGAAAATGGATAAGAATGAATGACTCGGGTCCAAGATTCGAGACCGATAGGGATTGATTATAGGATGCTAGAAGCTGTGAGTTATTTGCGGTGGATATAACTGATTGAGATCGCTGATTGTCCATTTCTTCATTTTCAATATCCGCCATACTTCTGACCGTTCCCACCATGAGGAGGATAACCCATCTGTTGATTTGGAGTTTGTAATTGAGAATGTAAAGGTGAAAACATTCCAGATGTTTGAGAATAAAAGTGATTAGGTTCATCTTGAGATAAAAGTCCTTCTTTGGCTGAAATATCCCAAACTGCTTGTTTTGATCCAACTGAGAATTCCAAATCTTCTTTTGTGATTGAATCCCAACTGTTTCAAGATAACAAAAATGCTTAGTCAGTAAGGGATGAAAAGTATTTGCAAGTAGTAAGACAGAAACTCAACTATTTGTAAACCATCATCACTGAAAGTAAGAAACATAGCTGAGAGAAGAAGAGACCATCCACATAATGTGTGATAGCATCACAAATCGTTTGACTGAAACCGTAGATGAGAACGAGTCCGGTAGTAAAGAATCCGAGACCGAAGAGGATATCACCAATCGGCCAACGGTCATCGAGCGTACGAACGACCAATAGGAGTTGAAGGATGACATAGATCGCTAGACAAGCACCGTTGAAGATGTACATCATGATCCAAAGTGCGAGTGGTTGAGCAGGTGAGAAAGATGCAAGAGATTTGAAAGTAGCGATAGCGATAAAGAACGCGATTCCAAAGACAGTAGCAGATGATCCTCGTAATGACTATTGAAGATCAAGTTAGTTTTGAGATAGATTAGTAAGATGAAAGAAATCAAATGAGACGTACCCAAAGACTAAGAGGTGTACCATCTTCAGCAAATTGAAATCCAACAAAACCATTCACAAGTAAACACCAAAATGTAGCACAAACCATACCAGTTTGAGCAGCTGCAAACCACTAAAGAATGATAAAAAAAAAGTCCAAATTTCAGTTAGAATCTACAAGTCAAATTCGACAAAAAAAGATGAGAGAAAAAGAAGGCTGACCGGATAAACAGGAGAACTAGAAGGGATGATCCCACCATCCAAAAAGAAACTCAAGATAGTCACCAAAGTATAAAAGTAAAAAAACAAAACGATTTCTTTTCTACCGACAGCCGTATATTTTGATTTGATATGTAAAATCATAATAGCCAACATGATCAAAGCAATCACATGAATAAAGAGTACAGCAGGTTGAAAAAGAATTAAACCTTTGATTTCAACATTTCTTGCATAACAAGTAGGTTGAATTCCGATTCCATTGGTTGTACCCATTAATGGACAAACGATCAAAGCAGCCGAAGAACAAATTTGATCAAAATCACCAAATGAAAAACCCATATCGAATGTGATTTGTTGATAATTGATGAGATTGGTTTGGGGGAAAGTGGTGAATGGCTAGAGTGAGTGTGGTGTTGGACTGGGTCTTAGTGTTGGGTTTAGTGATGAGGAGGTGAAATCGGTCAACAGAGATTGAGAATGAGATTTGAACGAATACTTCCGATTCAAATTCGATTTCGAATTCCAAGTGGTCAAGAGAGAAAACAGAATAAAGCGAAAGTTTACAGGAATACAGTCAAAAATTTAAAAACCTAAACTAGCCAGTTGCGGAAATTGATTGAAAATTAAAATAAAATAAAATCAAAAATCAAAAAATCAAGATCAGAAACACCCATCGATGGATCTCTTCACTTCGTAGTCATAAGGACTCTCTATCAGTATCAATTCTTCATCCTAAACGACTCGTCGATTCTCAAGTAACGGAGGTCTGCAAACCATCACATCATAACACAATCATTTTCATCTCCATGCTCTTTCATCCTCACAATCACTTTTCAAGCCTTCGAATCTCACCATCACCTCACAACATCAAAATGAGTTGATTCAAAAAACCAATTCTTTAATTAAAATCAGACCAATCAATCGGTACAATTAAATTCGATCTTTCGATCTGGATTTAGATTAATGCTCTTATATTTCTTTTTGGCATTTGGATCTTGATCAATGCTGTCTATATACAATCTTCTTGGTATTGTATGTATTTCCATTAACAATTTTTCTTGGAGGCTTCTATAGCTTTGATCCGAACAAACAGCTTTCCTAAATGAACCGTGCCTACCGTGCCAATTACATTATACGTATCCATCTACTTCATTGAACATCATCTGTGGTTTGATCAGTTTCACGCGAGATAAAGGATGATTCACCTAACATGTGTCATCGATGATCAAGTTCTCAATGAAAAGAAAACTTATGCAACGAAGAATCAATTTCAAGCAGATCAAAAGAAAGTTGATCTTCTCCGCCCAGAAAGATCTATGCAACGTGGATTAAATCCTTTGGCCTTCCTTTATGTTGGAATTCAAAAAGCAGTCCATCTATTCTGCGGTTTACATAACCATCAATCTCGTTTGAAGTTTTGATTTGTTAGAAAGTCGGATTTTTTTCCGTATGTTGGGTAATTACTCGCTGAGACAAGTGAAGAGTTTTGTTCGAGTATTTTTCTGTAGTCAGTCAGTCTTGATGCTCTCATGAAGCAAGATGCAACAGAATGGATGAAAAAATTACGGACCGTAAAAAATACTACGATGGTCTTGTTGACCGTGGTTTTGAAGGATTTTCAAAAAAAAATTGTTTGTGACGTCAACTTCGTATGAAGTAAAGCAAACCCCAAAAGAACCGGACATATCATATCAAGAAGAGCATACGTCCATGGAAACCTTTGTAGAACTTTAGTAGCGTCAGAGTGTTTGAGAGGAACATCAAAAGATTGAGAGTGGTTGAAAAGTGAGTGGGTTAGGGTTAGGGGTTAGGGGTAACGATCCATCATCCTCCAGTCGGATTCCCCTCACGCTTAACATTTTTAAACGAAAAAAAAAGATGACAAATCCTTTGATCTTCATGTCTCAAGCTGTTTGAAGCATCTCTTATCGTACAATCATTCAACAATTCCAAAAAGTGATGTTAAACCAATGACTTGGATGTTCGTTCGATTTCCCACGTGTAGTGGATGCTCGCTAGGATTAGGAAATCATGCTCGATCGACTAATGATTTCGAAACATCAGTTCGGAATCTTACAAATCTCCATTCGATTTGATGAGAGTCGTTCACCCCTAGCCCGACTCGATACCTCCACAACAGTCTCCGTGTTGTCACAAAGACTACTGATGACCAAATTCGATATCACAAGGCATTCCTTTTGATGGAGAAATGTGTTCGGGATGGAATTCGCTTTAGACAGTTTAGTCGACTTCATTCCGACTAGAAGTATATTGATGATCATTGAAGAAAACCCTCATGATCAAATCTAGACCGACGGAGATCAGTTCTCCTTGCCTCATCAGAGGTAGAATGACATGACTCAAATTCCAAGACTTCAGATCACATTCAATCCAATTCACGATTCGTCTTTGGAATGTGAATTTGGTTTTGAAGAAATGATGATGGTCAAGCGATTGAAGTTCAAGATGATCATCGATCAAACTCTTTTACTTCTTGTTCGGATCAATGAAGAATGTAGAATTACGTCACCGTGCCTTGCAACTGTTAAGATCTCATCTTTGACCAAATCTCCAATCTGTTCACTGAATGATCGAATTCAGTGAAGTTGAGATTCAGGAAGACATATTATAGATCTTGAATATGTCTTTTTCGAATTCGCACAGTGAGTTTGTTCTTTCGAATGAACTTTTTCAATCAACTTGAAATACCCTCAAGTTTTACATTTCCCGTTTCTTTCTTTCGATACGATTTTAACCATTTCGGTTTCCATTTGTTTTATTTCTAAGAAGTTGTAATTATATTAAGACTCTTGATATCAAGTTATATATCATTTTATGTTTGGAGTTTGTTTTGCTTGTAATCATTCCATACCAGTTGGATTTATATGTATGATGAAATAGACTGAGTCATCAGTATACATCAACCATCTCTGAGGTCCTCAAGCTGAATACGAGGAAGAAGAGCACCAGTTCGACATTGTACACGATTTGAGGACGAACTCTTGGATTATGACACAAGAAAAGTGTCCAGGACGTATAGATTGTCATGATCATTGTCAAAAGTACATCATCAGGCTCCAAAATGCTTCGATGGAATTGATCAACGTGAATTTGGTTGAGCTTGAAGCGACACGCTACTATTGTTCGAGTTGATTCTTACACACAATCGAATCTTGCCTCAAGAAACACTGTGTGAGGGTCATTGAGAGAGTTTTCTGGATGAATACTCGATGACGATCTTGAGCTTTGAATACAGCACACAGCAGGCTTTAGAGCTGTTCAACCTCAATCAGGTTGGTCATCGAGACACTGTTACTTCCAAACTGATAGCGTAGCCCCAGGAAGATTTGTGATCCTCGTGCTGATCATCAAGGCAGATACACCTGCGCGTCCGGTAACGTCTAAATTTCATAAGTAAAGGACTCTGTGTAAACGACATTGACAGATAATTCTGGATAAGTGAAATAATCAGCTTTTTGAACTTTGAGCCACTACCATGAAAAGTTATAATCCTTTGGAATCTGTTGAAATTCATTACCCCTTCTGGAATGATTCTGGATCAAATGAATGGCGTTAAAACCGGTCCTGGAGAGATCTTTGAGATGAATTATGTTGGTGAGCAATATGAAGTTATTATTCAAACTTATCTCGTACATGAAGGAGACATCATTTTACGCAAGCTGGTCATCGGAGCAGATATGCTTACGTGTTCTAAAACCTCTAACTCTAACACGAAAGGATAACTTGAAAGCTTCATTTATATAGGGTTATGAACAAGTCATGTCTTTGCCCTTTTGAATTTTGAGTCGAGTGAATTTGCGTGTCAGGATATCTCCTACAATGAGAAATATAGAATGAGGATCATTTTGCATCTCATTAAGATGGATTCCTAATGACGGTATGATTGTTGGTTGATTGAAGAAATGCGAACCACTTCATGGATCAGTTTCACGGACGAAAAGATGGTTATAGTATCCATCAAATTTTTAATTCGGATCGTTTGAAGTGTTGGAAGCTAAGAGGTGGTCCAGAAGATACGATCAAGCTATACTGAATGACAAAATATGGGTCGTTTTTGCTGAAGAGCACTGGAGTCCTAAAGACTTTATACTTGATGGTTTAAAGACTCCCCTTTCACCGCTACTCATCCAGGTGAAATCTAAAGAGCTCGCATTATTTTGCATTTTATAATGCCATCCCGCGTTTTTGAGATTTATACAGGAGTTGAGCTGATCAGCTTGAGTCATTATTTCGTGGTATATAAAACTCTTCTAGCGAATTTCCTTCCAAAATCCAAAATCCACACTCTATCTTTCTTTCATATCACACATCTCACCCCTTTCCACTATCTTGATCACCTTTTCCTTCTTGATTTCTCTATCTTCACATCCTACTCTCTGAATCATCATGTCTTCGAAGAAAATCCTACTCGACCGTCTCCCCTTAACGAGTTTTGATTCCAATTCTCTTGCTTCAGATACTAGCACTTCTAATCTCGGAACTCGATACCCTTTAGCGTTTCAAGACTTGAAGATGATTGGTTCAGGTAGTTTTGGCTCGGTCTTCAGAGCTAGATCTACGTCCAATAAACGTCTCTATGCAATCAAGACAATCGCTCAACGTAACCCTGAAGGGGAGACTCGAGATGATATGATCATGAACGAAATCAACTTAATGAAGGATCTTGCTCATCCTTGCATTATTGGATACTACGACCATTATCTCAAGAATTCTATGTATCATATCGTACTCGAATTAGCCGAAGGAGGTGATCTTCGTCAAAGACTTGGTCGTGATCCTTTATCTGAAAATCAAGCAAGAATTTATACATTAGATGTAGCCAAAGCATTAGATTATCTTCATTCGAAACAAATCATTCATAGAGATGTTAAAGTTCTTAATGTGCTTTTGACTTCTGATGATCAAATCAAATTAGCTGATTTCGGTCTGGCGATCAAGGCTCCTTCTGGTTTTGCTTCTGGTAGTTGTGGAACTCCGTATGCTAAATCACCTGAACTTATCATTGGAGAGAAATATACAAACTCGGTTGATTGGTGGGCACTTGGTGTGATGTTGTATGAACTTGTGACTTGTGAAAAACCTTTTACTCAAAGTATGTCTTTTATTTTTTTCTCCATCTAATTTCTTGTTTTTCGAATTTTCCAATGACTGACTTTTCTGTTTTATCTTTTTGGATAGTGGGAGTTCAAACTTTAGAAGAAAGTATTCGATTTGAAGAAATTTATTTTCCTGATTCGGTTTCGATCAATTGCTCGGAAGTCATCAATGAACTATTGAACAAGAATTTAAAGAATAGATTGAAGTCTTTAGATGAGATCATGATGACGGAATTCTTTAAGGAAGAAGACGAGTTTGGGGAATTTGCTATGGGAGAAGATGATTTTTCGTTTCCTTGAAGAAAAGAAGATATTGGATTATTAAGTAGTAAGTTACTTTCTAACATAAGTGAGTATATTTTAGTTCCTTCTTTACTTTCTCGTTGCGATTATCTTTGAACTTTTGCTCATTGACTTTCTTCATTTTTTGCTTCAACCTCGTGCTATCCTCACCCTCACAGTAAAAAAATGACTATAACGTACCGGATTCCTTTGTGTATTTCTTGCTTAATTTTATGATATCATTCGTTTATCGTTATGAAAGATGTTAGGCGGAGATTAGGATAGTATTTAAATTATTTGAAAGGGAGATGTTTATGATCTGCTCAATGCCTGTTTGATTCCTCTTTTAATTCAACCTTTCTATCACGTTCACTGTCAAATGGTTATCAATTGTATCTTGGATATCTTTTTCTATCATTTTAGACTATCAGAGTTTCATTTTTGAAATGTTTGTACGCTATCAGAATCCTAGGCCTCATTGTATAGGTATCCCTTCTCTAAATATCGTTTCTTGTTTCTTGTTTTTAATATCGGCGCCATCGCACTCACTCATATTACCAGATGAAATCAATAATTGTACAAGCCGCATGGTCACCTATTGTGGCTGATAGAGTCTCGAGCTTGTCCCTTGTTATTTTCTTCCATCTGATCACTGGTTTCTTGAATCAGCGAGTCTTCATGTTTCAACAAAACTCAGCTCCACCAAGATAAAACATATGCAGAAAAAACACATCTCTCAAACTGCATTCACAATGGTACATATGTAAAAGAAAATGGTAAAAATCATGTGAGTTTTAGTTGAGGATTACATCAAATCACGAAATCATCAACTTCTTTATCAGGCATTCTAAAGAAAAGATATCAACACAATAAGTTATCTTTTCAATTTGAATCTTGAGATGATCAGTTTCATGGGGTCTCCCAAAGTTTTTGTAGGGTTATGACGGTGATGACCCTTTTGGGTGATTCTAAAGTCTGGATTCTGGGTCTGAAAAATCACCAACAGGTAGTCCACAGCTTGATCATCAAAAAGGCATTTGTAATTTCCATTGAGTCAGACTCATGGTATATTTTGCATTTAAAACATGTGTTTTGCGTGGACCAGAAGGATGACCGGGTCCGGTTGATGGTTTCTTCGGGGCCAGGTGAGCTTTGAAAGGCGGGTATGATACAGTTTGTGTTGTATGCGCATTGAATGAACAAATACTCGTTTGATGATTGATCAAGTCAAGTGAATTAAAAATTAAATTGACAATCAACTTCCAGATCCGATCGCACCACTTCAACTTTATCAACTTCACCAACATCAACTTCAACTTCAGCTATCAACTCATTGAACACTTATCCAAGAACCTTGCATCCATCACCATCTCACAGACCTTCAATACACTCGAGGGAATCCCCAACATCAACTGCCTTCTCTCACTAGCATCTCCTCGTTTCCTTCTTTTTTCTAGTCAGCTTTTTCAATCAGGCTCACTAGGAAAAGGAACGGAGACCAAGACTTTCTCCACCATCTTATGAAACCTCTTCAACCTATCAATCATGTCGATCTTAACATCCATGACGTTTATACGTCTAGGAACCTCGACCATCTTCGAAAGTTTCTTTACAATAACAATACGAAAAAAGCCAATTTCGAACGATCTCTGGCCTATAATCCAAGCAACCTTTCCAATGGGATCTCAAACTTGAGTTATAGACTTTCTAAGAGTCCTTCGAATCCATCTTCACAATTCACTAGTCTCAATGTGCAATTTGTATCATCTTCTGATGTCAACCGTAAAGATCTTTTGGGCCGATGCTTATTACATAAATTAGCGTCATCTGAGAATGAACCTGAAGCACTCGAATGGTTGAAGGTCTTGGCCGAACATCCTCAACTTCAAGTTAATGCCACTGACGCTGAGAATGGATGGACTGCATTGCATCGAGCGCTATTCTGTGGAAATCTTAGTTTTGCCAAGGTTTTGCTCGATGAGATTGGTTGTGACATACATATCAGGGACCACGAGGGTAAGTTTGATAGTTTGCTTGATGTAATTATTCACCATGAGATTTTAGTGATACCTAGCCTTATTTGATTTTTTTGTCATTCAGGAATGTCTGCTTTTGCTCTTTACAACTCAACGATTGACGGCGCATGTCCAGCACCAGCTTTTACAACAAAATCTGTGCTAGAGCAGAATCGGACTGAACTCTTTACTTGGGGTAACAATCGCAATTTTGTTTTGGGCATCCAGGGTGATCGCGCTCACCCTGAAAGAATCCACCTGAAGCATCCACCTCATCCGAATCAACCGAGTTCTTCTTCGTCTCAAATCAATGCGTTCTTGCCCATCCCGGTATCTGTGGTAGCAATGTGTAGGCTTCACACAGCCGTAGTGACAACAACTGGCGAATTATGGATTTGTGGATTTGGGTCCGGTGGTAGACTTGGTTTAGGATGGTGTAACAATAAACAACCCACAGGTACTCAGGTCCATAATAACAACATCACAGCTCAAACTCAGCTTACTTTTGCGCGTGTCAAGGGCGCGTTGATGAATCAAAGAGTCAAATCAGTTGCATTAGGACAAGATCATACGATTATTGTTACCGAAGCTGGTCACCTTTATAGTTGTGGTCTCAACCGATTTGGTCAGCTAGGATATGGCGCCGATACGATGGAAACCCCTGAATACGCAGCTGCCAATTCCAGTTCAACAAACGAAGTGATTCAAGCCGATCCTAAGCGAGTGCTTGGTCCTCTGAAAAAAGAAATCGTCTTGGGAGCTGCTGCGTCAAAGTGGCATAGTGCTTGCTTCACTGCTGATGCTTTGTATACATGGGGGGCTCATCAAGGTCAACTCGGTTATCCAAGTACGAGCAACAATTCTCAGTCCACGAGTATTCAAACTTGTCCTCGGAAAGTAACAGCTGCAAGCTCGCCCATATCTCAGTTAACTTGTACAGATTACTCTACCGCTTTCCTTTGTCATAACTCGGATGTGTTTATTATCCGATCGAATAGTTGTATAAAAGTGATATTTCCTTCAGATCGCTTTCCAGCGCATATACCAGTGTATAGGCCTCGCGATCAAGGCCTTGGTCATCTTCGAATCATCAAGATTTCGGCTTTCGATGAGACTCTAGCCGCGGTTTCTAATATGGGTGATATGTTCTCTTTGGACCTCGGGAGAAGCACTCATTCAGAATCAAATCACGCCGGACAAACGCAGCTGACTTCCGCTAATAGTCAACATCATCCTCAAAGTTTCTCATCGAGCGCAAATTTATACAAACCTCAAAGAGTCTGGACTTTGGGCAAGAAATTCACAGCGGTCACTGATGCTGCTGTCGGAATGGATGGATCGATAATCTTTTGTACCAAGTCAGGACACGTTTTTATTCATTCAAAGCGAACTGAAACTCAGTCCAGTCTTAAAGGCGGTCCTGCTCGATTGGGCGAACAGATCAAAAACACTCGGAATCCAAAGCCAACTCGAATAGCTCATCTTGAAAGAATCACCAAGGTTTCTGCTAATCCGACTGGTGCTTTTGCTGCCATTCGTGAAGATGCCACTTTGAATGAGATTAAGATACGTTGTGCTGCTGAAAGTATTTCTTTACCTTCGGCCCTAGTTCGTCTTTTATCGCATTTGAACAACTACGTTGGCTCGGTTCCAGAACTTCATACTGTACCGTCGCAGAAAGCTTTGAACCATTCATTTGTTCGAGCAAACGAAATTGGAGATGAAGAAGATGGATCTGGTCCCACTGAGAATGAATGTGAAGGAGAGGAAGACGATCATACGTTTGACTGGGATGAGAAAGTTGGCTGCGCGCTGATTCGTATGTCTTTATATTGGGATTCCGACCAAGGACTCGATCTACCCTTGCGAAATGGTGATATGATACTGCTAGTCGAAAACAAGACGATTCTAGTTCACAAGTTTGTATTATGTTCTCGTAGCAATTATCTGAGACAGGTCATTGAAGAAAAAGAGTCACATGAGGATATAGTGTACTACCAAGCTGGTACGAAAACGATCGATTGTAATGGCAAACAACGATTGATGAATCTCCCGGTACTGGAATTTCGCGAGACTTCATTGGTTTCGTTGCTTCTCTTTGTTCATTACCTGTACACTGATAATTATCCAGAACTATGGGATATGAGAATACTTCGAGCGTTTCAACGAGATTATCCGGAGATCATAGAAGAAACTTTGAAATCAAATCTCGATTCACTACCAATCCGGTTACAGAAATCTAAAACTGATCTTGAACGTTTGGCCAGTCTGACCAATCTTTCTGCATTACATAAGTCTTTAATCAGAATGGGAAAAGTGGTTCCAGAAGCTCGTTTATCGGTTGATTTTGAAGCTCAACTATCATGTTCATCAGACACGAAAGATCGGATCAAGCCAGATGTCGAATTGAAGCTTCAATCCGATGAGGTCATCAGTTGTCATTCTACTTTATTGAGGGCTCAATGTCCTTTTTTTCAAATGCTTTATGAAGACGATGCTTGGCTTGTTAGTCGCCGAGAAGTAGGTACAGCTGATGGTGATCTTATCCGTCTTGATATGAGTCATTTCTCTAAACGGGCTATGGAGCTCGTGATGCGCCATATCTACACGGATGGTGCAACGGATCTGTTCTTCACTGAAGGTAAGTGTTGCTATCGATTATCTTATTGTTTATTGCTTGACTTACTCCAACCTACTACAAACTGATGTGTTACATTCATCAAGGATTCGGGTCTCTGGATGAGTTCATCGATTTCGTGTGTGATGTGATGGCAATTGCGAATGAGCTACTCATGGACAAGCTCAAATGGATTTGTAGCGTTGTCCTTCGAGATTGCAGTGCGTTCGAAGATTTTTCTGTCTGATTAGGAGTTGGAGAACTAATTGCATAACTCTTTGCTCACTCGTGATCTAGTCAACCTTAACAATGTTACCTCGATTGCAGCCGAAGCCGATTTTTACAAAGCAGATGCCTTGAAAGACACATGTATGAATTACATCATTTGCAATTTGGAGACAATCTTTCAAGACAAAGCTTTGATGAATATTCCAGCAGATCTCTTATTACAAATTGGACAATATCTTAAACGCTCACAGCAAGTCAAGTTTCCTCAGACCCGTTGTCAGGCTTTGAAAGAAGCACTTTTACATTCGAATGTGACTTTTCTATCTGAATTGGATCTTCCTAAATCGAAAGTAGGAGAGACACCACGATTTTGGAAACAGTTTCTTAAATCTTTATCAAACACATCGTCTAATCATCAGCCAACTGAAATCACCTCTACTCAGTCGGTTTCGGGTTTAAATGAATCTAAGAGTACTGGGTCATTACCTATGACCACTGGTTTGAACTTATCATCTGGAAGTCCAGGATCGTATGGCGGACAGTCATTGTGTAAATCTGTACCTAGAGTATCTCCACCTCCACCCACGAGTTCTTCTACCCGTGTCACTTCACATTCGATCCCCACACCACCTAGTAGGCTTATAGATGATAGAGAACCCGATGAAGGACCATTTGTGATGGACGAACTTGATCATTCTGAAAGCCAACCTTTGAAGAAATCAGAAGGAGGAAAACATGCACCTTGGGAAGGTATAGCTACTCAGAACACTCGAGTCGACTTACGATCCATTATGTTGACCGAAAAGCCAAGTGAAATATCTAATGTGTCTACGTATAACTCTACTAAAGCAAGTCCGATACGAATGTCATTTGAAACTCCGATGAATATGAAATTATCTCAAAGAGAGAAAAGAAGGATTTCTTTAGAGACTTCTAAACAACCGACGATTGAGAATAATGTTCAAATTGTGAAACCATCAGCTTGGAGAACATCACCTTCGAATCCGAAATCGATGGATGTAGGCAAGGGTGTTCTTAAACCGATTTCATTTGTTAAAGGTAATGTTTTGAACAACAAAGCAGTGGGTAGAACAGAGATTCAGGGTGAGAGTTTTGAGAAGCATTCATCAGCGAATGGGAAAATGATGGGTACCACTAGACTTTCACCTACGATGAACCGATCTAATCATGAAGTACCATCATCAAGCTTTGTTGGAGGTGGTTCATCAATGAAGACTAAAGCGTTGGATCAAGTTGATCCTGCTTCTGCTGTAGGAGCTGCAGTGATTACACCTATGAAGATGTCGGTTGGGAATCGAAGTAACAGTGTTTCACCGGGATTCCGTTCACAAAAGTATCATCAAGATACACCATGGACGAATTATTCATCTACTTCATCTACTTCGTTTTATGCTTCTGGATTACCGATTGGGGTTGGAAGTGGATCATCACCACCTCTAAGAATAGAAGAAGAAGGAATGAAGGTTTCGAGAAAAGAAGCCACGAATGAAAGTGGTGTGATGATGACGACTGATGGAATGATTGAATCGGCTCAAGTACATGATTCGAAATTAATGAAGTTCTCAATGATTCAAAACCAACAAGAAACTGAATCATGGGCTATCAAACAGAAATGTAAACCTAGTTTGATTAAGATTCAAGAAGAAGAAAATGATAGACAGATTGAGATGAAGAGAGAAGTGGAGTTTTTGAAATGGTTTGAGGAAGAGAGTAAGAAATATCAAGTGATTGAACAACCACAAGAAGGAGGAGTGAATGGAGCAGGAGGACAAAGTAAGGGTAAGAAGAAGGTTAAGGGTAGGAAAAGTAGTGGTGGGATTGGTGGTTGGGATGGTCAGATTCAAAGTAAAGGATCGGTTGGATTGGAAGGTCAATCGAGTGGATTCGGAAGTAGGATGAAATCAAAAGAAAAGAATTTAAAGGTTTCTAAACTGAATGTGAATATGAATGATAATCATAATCAAAATCAAAAGGATTTATTGAACTTATCGATTAATGATTTGAGATGTGAAGATGATTTTAAAAAAGGCAAAAGGATTGATAAGAGAATCGGATGTGGTCCTGGTTCTGGTTCTGAACTTCATTGTACTTCTTCTAAGTCTGGTCATTTTCATTCATCACAACAACAACCACTACCGATTGGGAATAGGTTACAACAGCAAGTTAAGTCTAAGTAAAGAAAAGGATAGGTTCAGAGAGGGTTTTTTGGTGGGTTTTGGTTCTTATTAGGATATATGTTTTTTAGAATTTTGTTTATTTGTATTTATGAATAGAATTTTTAATTTGGTTTGGAGGAAACCTTATCTTTTTCTCTGTTTCTGTTTTGAAGTATTATTATTTGATCAGATTTTTTGTTTGTTTGTGAAATCTTAATTTTAGTATATTAATTGACTTTTTAGGGTTTTTTTGTTGAGGTTTTGTATTACATATCAACACTTTTAAGATAGGTATTTGTATGTGTTTTTAGGGTAGTCTTTTTTCAAAGCAGGTTTAGAAAGATTTAACAATTTGAAGAAAATCTTTTTTGTTTGTTTTGTTATCTCCAAGAGAAATCACTGGTTGGTTATAAAGACTCATTTGGTCTCTTTTTATATGCCTCTTCTCCCCATTTCTTTTCTAATATTTACACTAGGTAATATGGCTACACCACTAACAGGAAATTGAACAGGAGAGTTTATAAATCTAGCAGGAGGTTTTCAAACATTGCCTACAATGACAATACTAGCCACCACTTCAATTGACACACACCTACACATTTTTTTTGGTAAGACTATCATCGTTTCATTTTTTTATCTTTTAAAGATTCTTATATTCACAGAATGTAAGATGATTTGGTTTTTTACAATTTGATTTTAAGTCATTCATTGTTAGGTTTTTTTTACATAATAGTATAAGCTTTCTTGGTTTGGAGAAGTTCCAAGACCTTTTCGTTTGATGGTATGATTTGAACTGGGTTCTGTAAGTCGGTGAGGTTCGCTTTGAGGTTTTGAGTTCAGGTTTTGGTTTCGATTAAGACCTGGAATTGATTTTGATTTACGAATTAAAAAGGTTTGTTGGATGGTTATTAAATCTTTCCAATTAAGTTGATGATCACGATCATTCGATTTAAATCTATGTAAAGTTAAATCTTGAATTGATTGGTGGTTTTTTGGTTCAGGGAAATCATGAATTGTGTTAATGATTTTTAAGATCTCTTGGAGGTTTGATTTGAGTGAATCGAATTGAATTGTAGACACTTTTGGTGGCTTTAAAGCTGAAAGTTGATGTAAATGAAGGATTGTTGAAGTTGAGATTGTTGTTGATGAAGTTGTTGATGATGAATTGAAGTTGGGTGGTTTGGTAAGGTTGATTGGAAAACTAAGGTGGTCTAGTCTGGGTGATGGGTTGGGTTTGGATGTGCTTAATCGTTTGGATGGTTTGAACATTATCAAGCTGAGCAGTTTGGAATGGTTTCTTTGATCGAAGACAACTGATCGACCAGAAAGCATTCACCCACGGGTTCGATTCGATTTGTTTCGGGTACGTGGTACCGTGTGCAATGTAACGGACTCTATCCCTCGGGGCTATTTATAAAGACGCATTCGATTTGAATTTGATTTCAGTCTGATCTCATCTTTCAAATTCGATTCACATCCTCAAGATTCCTCAACTGACCATTCTCATCAATTCATCAATCGTAAGTGACTTGACTCTTTATCAAACCATTCAATCATTCTATTTTTCAATTCACATGATGAAACCAAAATCACGTCATCCTTGTTCTTTGAGCTATTGAGATTTTTAAATTTAAATCGTCATAGTTCTGACGAAACACAAATCGATTTGATTAGCCAATAATAATCAATTAATCTGAAGAAAGAAAAATTTAAATCTACTTCACACTCATTCATTTCTTTCAACGAATCAAATTGATTTGTGATAAGATTATTAACTTTTGCTTTTTTTTGATTTCAGTAGGTTTTTTTCATTATGGGTTTAGGAACATTAAGGATGAAGAAACCGATTGGAACAGATGAAAAGATGAATGAAAAGAAACCGAACAAACGATCTCGTAGACAAACCACTAGATCTCCATCCATCGATCCTACCCTACCACCTTACGGTTATAGAAAAGATGAATCGATCGATATTTATCCATCAGGTTCTTCTACAGCTTCAAGAAGAGCTTTTGAAGAATCTAAAGCAAAAGGGAAAGGGAAAGCAACTGATTCAGAAATTGGAATAGGAGAGGAGTTAGTGATTAATTGGACTACTAGTTCGGAAGAAATGGCTAATCGGTTATTGTCTATACCTTTACAAAACCATAGAGAATTTCAACATAGATTGAAAGATGCTTTAAGAGATGAAGAAGAGATTAGGTTTGAAAGACTTTTAGAAGAAGATCAGTATTTACCTAAACGTTGGAAATCTAATGAGTTTGGAAAGCATCAAGTAAAGGATCTTGATAAAACTACACTATCTAGGATGGAAGGAGAAGATTATGATGAATATATTAGAAAGAGAATGTGGAGTAGAAGTCATCGAACAGAATATTTAAATGCAAAAGAAAAAGAAGAAAAGCAAAGGAAAGAAGAAGTGAAAAGGAAACTAAAGAGAGAAGAAGAGAAGATCAAGAGTAAGGAAAAGATGAAGAATCGAATGGAAAAAGAAAGCAAACGGAAAGAAATGAAGATGAAAAGCTATAAAGAAAGTTATGAAACTAAATGGAATTTGATTAATTCATTACAAACTTTAAAACATGATGATGATCAATCGCAATCAATCAACCCAAACCTTTCATTTGATCAAATCCCATGGCCGATCTTTTTGGAAGAAGAATCAGAAGATTTATTTAAGACTAACTTACAGATCGATTTAATCAATCGGTTCACCATCACATCGATTAAAGAGTTCTTATTTAAAGATATAGAAGATTTCAATTTAAAGAAAAAGATTATTAGATCTAGTTTATTATTATATCATCCTGATCGATTTGATTCACTTATTCTCCAACGTATTCAATCTCATGGTTCAGAGAAAGAGAAGGAGAAAGAGAAAGTAAAACAAATCGGATTAAGAGTTTCACAAATCTTAAATGAAATTCATCAAGAACTTTAAGGAGGATTTCTTTTCATAGTTTTGCATTGGATCTTTTGGACTTGGATTAGGATTCGGATTGGGTTTAGGGATTTCTTTTAGAGAAGAGTTGATGATGGTTCTTGATTATTGTAAAAGAGAAGTCGTTGATCGTATTCAAATACATCAATTATCAAAAGCTGGTCGAATAAAGTCTATCTCAATCAATCAATCAAATCCGTTCAAGATTTTTTCTGTCTCGAGTCTTTTAAGACTTCTTTTACCTTTCCTTTCTCATTCATCAAAGTTTGATAACATCTTTTATTGTATCACCTTTTTTTACTTGTGGTGAAATGTATTTGTATTATTATTATTCTGCTTTCAGAGCACCGTCTCTTGTTTAATCAACTGATACGTGTAAACTTAACAAAGTTTCATGCTTGCCCATCCTCGCGAGTCTCGAGGGCAAAGCTTGATGTCTTAGTCATGACTTGGATCTCATTCTCAGTGTACCTGCATGAGATCAACTAACTAATAAGAGAGAGAAGTAAAAGTAGGTGGACAGATGTATTATGTATATTTTGATGGAGTACATCCGAATATTGTCTTCTGGGAGACTTCTCAAACTTACAACCTTGAGATGGGGCCTCAATCTTCATCATAGTAGATCATGATGGATATACTCTGTAAACTAAGAAGGCAAACTTTGAAAAACAACACTCCGGTGTCCTTTTTCCAACCTGCTGTGACATATAGTTTGGTATTTGGATTTATCAAGCCCAGGCCCTATATGACTAATCTCTCCAAATTTCTCAGTGATTAATCTGACACTTTCTTTGGCATGCATAGTCAATAACTGGTTTTCCTATTTTCTAAGTCTTTAAATCTAATTAAAAAAGCTAGATAGACCAAAGTAGACTATGATGTACAGGATGTGGCTCATTCTTGAGGATCCCTCTGTCATACATTTAATCATCATTTTATGTTCTATGATGATAAGGTGTGATAAGATTTAACTGCACTTGTCCTGCTCATTTATTTGGGTAGGTCAAGGTGTGATGCTGTGTTGTTGTGACTGATTTGTAATGAAAGGTGTTCCGCTCAAATGGGCAGTAGTTTACAAATCAATGGAAAACCATATATACTGATGTATTTCATACAACATTAATCACTCACAGTTCACATATATGGTAAAGATTTGTGTGAAAAAAACACAAATTTCTTTCAAAATCTTCAATGGTAGAATCTTATGTTTATGCAACGCTAGACTTATTCAGTTAGCTTGATCTATTACGGATGGTTCTCACTTTTATTCTATGGGAGAAAAATGATGCCATAGGTATCTATGTAAACAGATAATGAAATCTGGTGAAGAGAATTGATGGTTTTTGTATGAAGAGAGATGAGATTTGTAAACCTAGCATTGGACGAATTCCATTATGATCAATTGTAAAGACAAAAAGTTCCTTGATACAGTTATAGATATCTGAGAGATTCAAGTTTGAACAAGGGGCAAGAAGTATCTTGCAAACATTTGAAAATCAATTCTTAAGATTAAGAGTCTATTAACTGCGGCAGGTGACCGGTATGGGTACGGAATGATTTATTCCACTTTTCTATAAAATTAAGTAGGATGATACAGCGAAGTATATACAAGAGAAAATTGATCTACAACAATGTAAAAATTGGAACCCGAGTACCTGACTCACTCACTGAGATTGGAGGGGTGTGATTGATGATGAGTTTAGTGAAATGCTTTGAGGAATGTCAGCCAATGTATGATGTTTTATGGTAACTTGATGTCTTTCTTGAAGAAATCTGTGTTCAAAAGCTCAGCTAAAGAATTCAATCTTTGATCAGGATCTTTTTCCAATAGACGACAAATCACTTCAGAACATTCGGGGGAGATTGTTTTTGGGATTTCAACTTTTTCATGTTTGATACTTTCTTCTAAAGTTTGAGTACCGACTGTTAATTAAGATATAAAAGAAAGAAAATCAGTATCTAGAAATTGGTTTTTTAAAAAAAGGGGCAGTTCAAGAAAAAATAAAACATACCTTCTTGGAAAGGCTCTTTGCAGGTTACCATTTCGTACAGCATCACACCTAAAGCCCACCAATCAATACACTTCGTGTATTCGTCTCCATTGATCACTTCCGGGGCCTTGATGTAGGGCGTCCCGTAGTTGCCAGATGCGAATCCCGAGGGAGCCTTCGATGCAAGTCCAAAGTCAGCTAGTTTGATTTGATGATCGGAAGTTAAGAGGACATTTGAAAGTTTTACGTCTCGGTGAATGATTTGTTTTTGATGTAAATATTCCAGTGCATTTGCCACTTCTAAAATATAACTTCTTGCCAGATTCTCCGGGAAAGCTTTTCGTCCGAGCTTTTCACGTAGATCACCTTCATCAGCTAATTCCAGAACGATGTGAAAAACGAAATTCTTTATATAATAACCAGAGCATTGAATGATTGAAGGGTGATTGAGTTCAATGAGTAAGTCAATTTCGTTCATGATTAGCTTTTCTTGAGTTCTCCCTTCCATATCATATTTGGGAATTTTCTTAATTGCATAAATTTTCTTATCAGAATTACTTCTAGCTTTGCAAACTGATCCAAAACTACCTGATCCAATGGTTTTCAAGATCCGAAACTCTGACGGTGATCGGATTAGGTTGGCAGGGTTAGCGTCTACAGCAGGAGAATTAGAATCAGAGATTTGCAGGGAAGGGTCATTGGACTTAGAATTGAGTGGCTGAGCGATGATGTTCGTTGAAGGCATGATGATTTATAGATTCAGATGATGATATGTAAAAGTGGAGCGTTGAAATCAAGGTAGTGAATTGAAGTTGGATGTGTGTTGGGAGTGATTTGAGTTTCGAATTTGAAGGGGGTCTTTATATCAAGGCCACAAGTAATGCTGATCCGCGTGAATTATTCCATATTGGTCAAAGTGTATGGGTCGACTTTTAAAAATGCTCAGAAATGTAATGCTCGCATATTTAAGCTCAGAATTGTTGAAAGGGACGTGGCACACCTTCATCATTTAATAAAGTTTGGGAAAGATTTGTACTACAGAGGAAGCCAGATTCCTGATTGTTGCATTGACTTCGATAGAGGAACATTATCGGAAGGGATGGCAGCATTTATTCCTTTGCAGTAGGTAAATCAGAAAAGCAGCACCGTCTATGTATCATAATCTGTCTGGCTCATCGCGAAAAAATGATCAATAATTTCCTGGAAAATATTGACTTTTGCAGACATCTCACGTGAACACCTGATCACTCTATAAAACGATTCAATAGCTGAGAAAATATGCAAGAAACCTTAATGAAGTGGCTTATGATATAGATCGCAAAATGCCTGGTGCATTTAAAGTACAAAGGATAATCCAGACAGCCCCAGTACATTTTGTTTATCCTTGGTTCGAGTCAAGCATACTTGGAGAAATATCATGGTACAGCATATCTTCAGGGCGGTTGAATGTGGATCATCTCTTTCGTGACCATAGACTGATGAGCTTTTGGCCCATGATGATCAATTTCCCAAAAGCAATAGCGCCACGAAGCCAAGATTGATGCAGCTCATGGTTAGCTCTCGTATTTTTCGGGAATGAAAACTCCAGTTTCCAACCTATTAGAGCATTCGACTGCTCAGGCATAAAACCCCACTGAGTGATGGGTCCTATTTGAGAGTCCAAAGGATTTTCGTTGAAGATTCCGCAAATTAAGAGGTAAACTGACACATATATATGTCTGAGTCAATGGTCAAAAGGAATGTGCGTGGACTTATCCAAAAGCTCCGCAATGCAGTTTTGGGGAGGGTTGAGCATTGGGGAGTTCTTTATCCAATTAAATGACCAGCTCGTGGACTATCACTCTTTTACAATCATCTCGAGGATCCAGAGCAACCAGGTAGAATGGATTCACTGGGGTATTCTGAGCCTTTAGACGCTTTTGGAATGGCAGAAACCTGTGATGGAAGTCCAGGTTTTATGGGCTCAATTGGTTATTTGCTAGCTCCCCGCGTAGAGGTACTCCCTTTTCTCCTGCTCAGCCCATGGACCCAAGAAGTCTTTTCACTCTTCAAAACTGATTGGATTATACTGAAGATACAGTAGATTCATCGTGTGTTCCAATTGTTTTGCAACCATATGCCTATCGGACAGCACAATCTAACCACAATATATCAGTTGATATTAAGAGTCCTTATAAGGATGCTTTGATAGGAAAAAGGCAAATACGGATGCGAATCGAGAATAAGATGTTTCCGAGCAGAAAGGTGAAAATGAACAATACGAGAAGACAATTTAGAGGATTCATAACCTGATGATAAGATATCTTCTCCTGATGATCAACTCCGAATGTTCATTCGAAGTTGCTTCGTTCATCCAAGTGACGGAGTCCATAATGGATCGATGGACATTTCGGCAGTTGGTCACTGCATTTTTTATTCATTTGAAGGATAGAAACCTCGCATACATTGTATTGAATTTCCTTCGGTGTGTGGTCTTTCCTTCCACAAGAACATACTGCATCCGAGAGGTAGAACGTAGATTCGACCCAAAGTTTGGGGTTGTGAGCACTTTGATTCTTCGGTGCGAGGCTAATGGCCTCACATCGGCATGTGTAGATCTCAATATTGATTGAGAGGCTGTACGTCCAGTCCTAAGCAAGTTGGACATCTGCCGGAGGGGCCTACCTCCGAAACACAATGGTTGATGGACGAGATCCCTTGGAACGTCGGTTCAGTGGTAAGCTTTTGTTGCGGTCCTTTTTAGGGACTGGCGCGGAAGTGTGGAAACTTGTTGATGCGGAATCACTTGCTTCAGCAAATTGGATGAAAAATTGAAGGACTTATATTGGGCCCAACAATCGAACTCCTTGAGAACCTTGTGCATACCATCACAATGATGAACTTTTCCAATGAATCAAGTAGCCATATGTTTTTGAAGTGAATGAATTGAATTTTTATCAAATATTCTTATATCATTTTTTGTTGCACAACTGTCTTTGATCGATTAGATTTGTTGGAGAGAGGATTGTTCAAATCGTTTTGTGGAGGTTGTTCAACCCTGATCGTAACATCTGTAAAGCAACATAAGCAAAGAGTCAACCAAGTCCAACTTAACATAAGTCCCCTCCTAGTGTAGAGTGTCCGGGGGACTTTAGTTAAGTTGGTGTAAACTACACCACGAACCCCCCCTAACGGTTTCCCAACCGGTGTTTCACACCGGTTGGGAAACGGTAATTCATGGCTGGTGGACTTCTCGTCAGAACCGCACTCTGTAAAACCGGTTTTTGTCCAATTTTTGAAAACCGGTTGCCAAACCAGTTATGACCGGTTTCCAAACCGGTTTTGACCGGTTCTGCACTTGGCCTTGAAAATTATATGATTGCTGTGATTTTGTTTTGGTTCTCAGGGTTATGCTCAAGAGGCAAAGGAATGTACACAAAAGCTTTATACACTTAAATTTCAGTCCACTTGAAATGTCAATACAAAATCCTGATGATACAAAGTTTTAGACAGAGTTCATAGCGTATCTACAATGAGAAAAATGAGAATGAAGGAAATGAGAGCAAGAAAAACAACCGTTGAGGAAACAACTGAAAGTCATTGCTGAGATATACAGACAATGCAAAACAAGGCAATCATTATATCAAGAATTCATTCCAATTCTTCTGATTCTGAATCATCAGGTGCTTCTTCATGATCAGACGCAAAGAATTCCTCATTTGGTAAAACCTCCTGCCCATGTGTTTCATCTAAATTGTGGATCTCGTGCTCTATTTCCTCCTCCGTTGGCAAAGAAAAACTGGTTGAAGTCTTCAGTTGTGCAAAGTTCTTTTTACCATTGATTCGTTTACAGTCGCGTTGTAGGCACAATGCAAAGAATCTAGAATATAAGACACATGGTATTCAGGTATGATTTTGAAGCCATTTGGTCAAACACAAGGAAAAACTTACGCATAACGGTATCGTCGACTTTCTGAACGTAAGTCATCCAATTTGTCATCTATAACATTCCACAAAGTCTTGGGAGCATACTTTGAAAGGTTCATCCCCCAGTGGACGGCCAGCACTCTCTGAGCAGTGAGTGAAGAAAACGGATCAAAAATCAGATTGATTCATAATTCATTACAAGATCAAATGAAAATACGGACCAGCCATGAATACCGAGTCCTTTGGAGGTGATCCGTTTGCTTGATGATATCAGTCTCTGCAAGGAGTTTACCACCAACATAAGAGTGTTTCTTTTGGTAAAGCTATGTAAACGAATATAAGTGTTGTTTTTAATCTGATTGACACAGCAAGATGACCATCAAAAAACTTACTTTGATAATGATAGAATTGAGTTTGGGTACGCTCGCGTCAACAGGTGGGGCGACTCGGTCCGGAAATTTAACATTTGTGATGAGCTGGAGAAGTTTGTTTTTGATTCAGATGATGAACTAGAAACATCACGAAAGCATTGACTGACTATGGTTTCAAAATCCTTTCTGACCTGCTTTAAAACATCATTCACGAGTGTGGTGAATGCACGAGCAGATTTAAGTTCAGGGCCCACTCCAAATTTGGGTGGTAAATGTTGCTTTTTCCATTCGGTTGATTCGGTTAATATCCCAGTCTGGCTCGCTGTGCATCAGTACAATCGATTTAGGCAAGTTAATTCAAGGATGAAAACACACCATCACTTTTTCAAATAAAGACAAGGGAAGAAGAATGTTGTTGCTGTCTTTCTTAGCAGTGTATGCTTGAATATCGCCGTCCATGATTAGGGCGGTTCAAGAAGAGAACCGCGAGCAACGTGGTCGCCGAGTCGCGATCAGTCTTTTTAAGGTTGCTCAATCCTTAAAAAGCTTGATCGCAAAGCGGCGAATGCTGTAAACTTACATTTTACAGCTTTGTAAATTCAGGAACACAGTCCCAACCGTTCTTTTTTTGGCTTTGTTTTCTTTTTTGTTTTCTTGTGTTTTTGTACAGAATTTTTGTTAATGAAAGAGGAAGCCATCGAGAAAAACAAATACGAGAAAACGAGGTCCTTTCTTGACCAAAAATTGTCAGAATCCAGGAACAAAAAAAAGAAAGAATGTAAGTAATTCTTTTTTTCGGCTCAATTGTCCCTGTCTTTTGGAAATTCAGGGACAGAATTTAAAAAATTTAAAGGCCGATTACGAGATCGCCAAACCGTGAACCACCTCTAAAGGTGGTTCACGACCTTAAAATTTTACTTAAAATTTACAGACCCCGAACAAGATGTAAAATATAAAAAAGGGCTGTAAAAGCCCTTCTTGAACCGCCCTATTGTTCTCCATGCCCAAGTACGCACAGCATCCTGACATGGATCAACAAGTCATATTTGAGATAGAGACAGAGACAAACAAGTCAGTAAAGGCTAATATGAAAAGGAGAATCACGCAACATTACCTTGAGGTCGCTATGGTCTTCATCTTTCCAAGGGGTGGGCTTAGAACTAGCGCGTTTTTTTTGACTGGGTTCTGGGGCCTTCTCAGCTTCATTCATTTGGCCATATAAATTTTCCAATTCTTCATGAAGCGATAGCATTGTTATCATGATAGTGTGAAATTGATCCTCGGGCGAAGTGACCTGGAAAACAAGAGTATCAATAAAATGTGGTTGAAGTTCTTCTTCTGACTTACGTTGCAAAGGTGGCGCCCCATGGCTGTATGCTCTTCATCAAGTTTGAAGCGATTGATAATTCTATTGAATGATTGTAGTTTCAAACCTGACATGCGAGAAGCTAATAAATCAAGCCCCCCATCATCATCAGTTGGTGGTGATCCTACGACATCTGCATGTCCTTTTGCTTGATCAAAAAAATATCAGTATATTTCCTTGACTTGATATAAGATATCGAAGACTTACCTTTTACTCTACTCATATGTTGGCTAGGTTCTTGATCATCACTTTGAGTTCAATTTACAGCTTCATCTTCTTCATGAAATTGATTTCCATGTTCTTCTTCACTATTTCCGCGAGAATGTTGATTTCCATTGTTGAAATCAGCATCACCATTCAACATATCTATATCATGTTGTTGGATTGGACTGGAGATTTGCAAGAGCCTTGCTGAGAGTCTTCGGTGTCTGTGGTTGGCTGGCGTTTGGTCTTGCCCTTCTTTGAAACAGTTGAAGTATGTCCGAAGGGATTGGTGTCCTTGTTCGACTGGAGTTTGGTCTGGCCCTTCTTCAGACTAGTAACAGTATGCTTGACTGTGTTTTTGGAAGCTTGTGCAGAACGGTTGGTTTGACTTCCAGAAGATTGAGAACCCCGGTGAACTTGACTTCCAGAAGCTTGAGGACAACTGTGACCTCTTTGGCCCTGATCTTGAGGGTTGACCTGCGCAGTTGTGGCTCGCTTATAAGGGGTGTACCGATTGCCTTTGCTTTGAGGCATGGCGGAAGGATTGGTGAGGTGAAGGATGAATTCGGGATGCTCAAAAGCAAATTGAAAGTTGAACACTTCAAATTAAAATCAAAATGAAGATCGGTCCAACTTGTCATTCATCTGTGACACACTGAAATGATGACATGGCCCTTATTTTTTCATGAGATTGGCTCTCTGCACGCCTTCAATCTCATTTACTCTGTCAATTTCAAAGATAGAAAGTCAATGTGTTGATGAAGCCATAAAATGGCTTCTTTTGTGAATCTCAGAATATGTTGTGCGTTAATTTCCAAGACTCTGGCTTTTCAAAACCAGCTCATGAGCACAAAACCAGCTCATGAGCACAAAACCAGCTCATACTTTTCAAAAGAAGTGCACAGCTTTTCAAAAGCATCTGTTGCTTTCAAGAACACTTTTCAAAAGCACCTGTCTGTTGCTTTTGAAAAGCAGCTTGCTTCCTTTTGAAAGCAACATGTGCTTTTACCTAGATTGATATAAATAGACAAGCTTCAAAGGGGCTCAGTCTCCTGAATTTGTTCCATATTCAATTTCCCCACCTAGCAGCGCATTCGATTTTTCCACCTTCAACAATTCCATATTCAATTTCGCCACCTAACAGCTCATTCAATCATTCAATCATTCAATCATTCAATCTTGTCACCTTGTCTTACTTAATTCCATGATGGTCAATGGACGTTTGTTCAAAGGCAGTGTGCCATAGAAATGAACCCATTTGTTCATTTTGTGGTCTTATTTAATGATGGTCAATGGACGTTTGTTCAAAGGCAGTGTGCCATAGAAATGAACCCATTTTTGGCCTTGTCTTATTCAATTTCAATGACATTCAATGGACGTTTGTTCAAAGGCAGTGTGCCATAGAAATGAACCCATTTTTGGCCTTGTCTTATTCAATTTCAATGGCATTCAATGGATGTTTGTTTAAAGGCAGTGTGCCATAGAAATGAACCCATTTTGTTCATTTTGTAAGGATCTTCATTGTGGCATAACTCACGAAGTTTCTCTCCACTTGACCATGTTATAAATGTATATCATTTCAGTTTTCTTTAAATTACAAAATAAAAATCTCAACAAAAGTCCTTCAAAACCAACGTCTTTCGCACTTCCTTCACTATCAAGGCATTTGTGAAGGTCAAGAGCTTGATAAATAACTTGCAATTAATTGAGAATTTGATGGGCCGCCTTGTGGTTGAGCCTGTGACTGTGGGTTTTTCCTAGTTCTGCTTCTCTTCGCCGGAGGTTGACCTGTTTGGTTCACTAACTTATCTCTTTCCCTTTGGCGTTGCTTCTCCTTGATTTCGTCTTTTTTTTTTACAGTGTCTTCCCAATTTGAAAGGCCTATTTGCACTATATTGACCCAATCACTCGGATTGGGATCCTCAAAGGTCATCTTACCCGCAGAACGATGAAGCTTGGCAGAATAGAAGGCGCCTGCATTAATAATGTAGTCCTTTGTGGGCTCGTGAACCACTGCGAATTCCAGGCCTTTGGACACCCGACGTTCAACCATAATTGGTCGAACCTTGTCAACACTACATTTGCTTTGATGGCAATTGTGTTGGACGTTGAGGATCCTGTCAATGTCCTGTATGCTCAGAGGTATGAGTTAATATATATGTAGCTTGTAGAACACAGCATTTACTCACCCAAACAATGATCCAAATAGCGGCATTGTTTTCCTTGATCTCGCGCATTCCATAAAAGCTACTAACCTGGCCCAATTGACAACGTGTGGCTTTGATAATTGTTTGCTGTTCCGCACAAGCTCCTGTGCCCCAAATTTGTTGAACACAGACAATTGTTCCATTGAGAGATTCGTTGTTTTTAAGTGAGACAAAAGCATTTTCAGTCACTCTTTGTCGATTCTTCAAAGTTATGGATTCTAGGACTTTCCAGTCCTTTGCACTGAATGCATCGAGTATTTTATTTGGGATCAGTTCGCATGGATTTGGTGGTTGTAATACTTTCTTCTCTATAATCAACATCAGAAATTATCATTTCATTAAAAACACAATTTAAATCAACACACAATGTTAGAAAGAACGTTCACAGCTGATATTGCTGAGGAAAAACATGACTTCTCTTACTTCCAATCTCGATTTGGTTAGGTTGGTTCCATGAAGCGTTGAATACTAATGCTTTTTGGAATAGCTTATTCTCACGAAATAGCTCTTGTACTTTTGAGCCTGCATGAATGTATGTTTTCAATTGTTTATCATATAATTTTGTTCCAGCAGTCAAGGCCCTTATAAGTTTATAGCTGTTGAAGGAATTTGCAATGTCGCGACCTGGACTTAAATGATTTGAGTGGATTGATGAATTTCGAGTATTTCCATTGTAGGATTCAAAGTTTTCAGTTGCAAATAGACAAGGAGGACCGAAACGGCGAATTGAATCGCACAGATGTATCAGCATATGAAACTTTGGCTTATTGCACCATTGAGCCAAAAGCTGTACAACAGTCTTCAAAAATTTCTGAATTAGGTGATCGAGTTCCTTGATATAGACATCCATGTTTGAAATCTCTGTCTGAAATATATAAGGAGCAAGGTGCGCCAATGCTTTCCATGCTTCACGTTCCTCGTCAGATAATGTACTTTCAAAGAATATGAAAGGTGCAGCCTGTAATACTACTCGGAACTCTTTTCCAGTGAGACTCTGAAAATGCTGGATCATACTTTTTGGCTGGATAGGTGGAATATTCAGACCAGAAGTATTAAATGACCTCCAACGGCCCCAGATTGTTTCCTTCTCGGCAGAGGTGAATTTGGCCATTTGATGTCGTAGGAAGTACTTAGAAACCCCTAATAGAGCGACGTGTAAGACCTCGACTGGGGTATCACGATGTCCATCAAAGCCTGATGAGAAGAATGATAGTTAATGATGAGATACATGCAAGACATCAATTAGAAAGAAGGTGATTGACATGAACCTTTTAAACGCAAAAACGGATTGAACAACCGTTCTCCAAACTGCTCATTCAGTTCGCGACACATATGAGCTATATCTTCTTTAGGGATCTTTGAATTTCGATGTAAATCTTGAGCTTGTTTGACAAATGGGGCATTTTGAGTGTCTCGGATGCCGAAGGATGATGATTTCGTGTCAAATTGTGAATTTTTTCCAGGAAGCTGAGCTATTTCCCAAAGTTCCTTTGTCCCCTTGATTGTTGCTGTCCAATCGCGTTTGGGAAGAGATGCCTAAGATTAGAACCAAAAATGGTAGGTTAAGTTATTTTACCATCCATTTATAGCCAAAGGTAAAACCTACCCGCTCTCCAGTTTTGTCTATACCCACAAAATCACATACATACTTCTTTGAACGTTTTTCCATAAGAGACTTTACCTTCAGGTGACAAACTCGACAAGGTGAAAGGGAGCTGGTTGGGTTCATGGTGTTGGTAACCTCCGCGTGCATGGGAGAGTCTCCTAGATGACAGAGTACTGTCGCCATAACAAGGACTTCTGATTGAGACTTGTGATCATAGGCCACAAAACCCTCTGTCATCAGGTCGCTGTTGGCATATGTCAGCAAGAATAATTTGTGTGTCAAGTTTCAGAGATGAGCGTACTTCAATTCGTCAATGAGAGGATCTGCCAACTCTAAGGCATCTGCTGTGTTTGACGTGGTCAAGAAATGACAATTGTATTCTTGATTTGCCATTTTCGGAGGTAGACCGGCCAAGGTAAAGTAAAAAGCAATATGCTTATTCCATTTTTTTGACACGTTGCCGGAAAGATCATCACAATATAGTACCAAAGGCATATGACGAATGATGCGACCATCTGCTTTTTTTCGCCATGGGTTGATTAATGGCCCTTTGACATAGGTTCCTTCTTTTTTAGCTGCAAAATCAAATAATCAATGCGATGACTGAGGCCTGTGGTTAGAGATGTGAGAGCATTCACCATACATGACGTCACCACAGTGATCTTTCATTGATTGACCATTTCGAAATTTTATTCCGTCAAACGTCCTCCAGAATTTGTTGACGTTGATTGTTGTAAACAATGGAGAATCAAATGTGGAAACATACGGGAATTCTGTTTGTATTCTTGTTGAACTACCTTCTTTTACAAACTTTTGGAACGCAGAGACACATTTTGCAAAGATATCTTGACCAGATTTATAAAAATATAGAGGAACTACAAGCCTCTCGTCTTGTAGTTGAACTGGTTCATACAAATAGAAATGAATGCTATCTTTTTCAATAATTTGCACTCTCAAGTCAGGATCAAGCTCCTCGCGCCACTTCTTTGATTGAGAAAGGCAATAAACTTTTGAAGTTGGATCTGGAAGTTCGGGTATGAACTCAAGGACTTCTGCGACGTAGGGATTTCCAATTTCCTGAAAACAATTTGAAGTCTCATCAATCTACATATCAGATTTTTGGTGAATTCATCTCAAGTGCTTGCCTGCGTCAAAATCTCCTTGACTTGCAAACCAAAGCAAGGTTTGTGCAGTGCACTGAGACTTTCACAAACATTGAAGTCGAATCTCTTCTTCAGTCGTGGGCGGAGGTCCTGAATGGTCTTATATTCTGGAATCTTTGACCCAAGTAAGCTAAACAAAAAGCGAATACGCTCATATTCCAACAAAGATAATGTAGTCCTTGTTGATCCTAAGAGAAGGGTACCGACAATTTGCTGAACCAGTAATTCAAGTCAGTAGCAAGAACAGCTGATTGACAAAAATACAAACGTGCCTCAAGACTTGAGAATGGATCCCAAGAAGATTCATCCTGATCAACAGTGTCATCACGGTTAAACTGATTGTCACATTCAGATTGATTTTCATCATCACCAATATCTTCGCTGCCGTGGACACTAGCCACAAGAGAGGTAGCTTCACTGCTGTTTGGGCTGTGCACTGGCGTGTTGAAAATGTTAGTATAGTCCTTGGTCCAGAGATCAATCAGCTCTTTTCGGCGCTCTTCAATATCTTCATCGATCTCAAAATCACCAAAATCACCAATATATGGTACTTGATCG